GATAAATTCTACTGATTTCCAAAGGTTTTATGCTTCAACGTGGTATGCCCCTGATACTTTTTTTCCCTTTTTGTGGTTGGGTAGGGGGAGAGGAGAGGGTGGATGACAAAGGGGCTAGACGGAACTCTGCAGTTTATGATTGAAAAGCTGTTTAAGTCTCAATATGTTGTTTCTTCAGTACGAAATGAGTGGCCTATTCGGCTGCTGATTGTGACTTCAGACTGGATGATCTAAAAACTGACTTTGACTTCACACTGGATGATATAAAAACTATCAGTCTCAATAGACGACAAGCAATTGCCATAAATATTATTGGGGGAGACTTTTATTTGACTTCTTGTATAACTTGTCAAAGTATTTGTTTCCGGATAGGCTATTCAACATGAAATTTGTTTGTGATAAAGAGATTATTTATATTGAGTTTCCAAATTTCAACCATAGTCTGTATATTGAGTAGTACCGTGGTATTTAATCTCTGAACGTATATGCATAATTAAAAATATTAAGATTTTAACTGTCTCCTCTGTTCACAGCCAATGAGATTGAACACGATCTCGATGCTCAGGCTGAAGACTGCTACATTGCCATGGAGGCACTATGTGAGGTGTGATACTTAATTGATCAATAGTCTTATGTTCGTTTACCACTTTGATTTCAAGTTCAAGTTTGTCCAACTTTTTTGAGACTTCATTTAATTGTGTGCAGGTCTTGAAGTCTGCACAACCTATTATTGTATACTTTCCGGATTCTTCTTTATGGCTGTCTAGAGCTGTTTCCAAGGCAAATAGGAAAGAATTTGTCCACAAAGTGCAAGAAATGTTCGACCAATTATCAGGACCTGTTGTCCTGATCTGCGGTCGAAACAAGGTTGAAACAGGGTCAAAAGAAAAAGAGAAATTTGTAAGTCCATTATCTGACCTGTCTTATTCCTTGACTTTTTAAGGTTTTTTATTTTGCGTCTTCACTTCTTTTTTTTTCTGTCAACAGACCATGATTCTTCCCAACTTGGGCCGCCTTGCGAAGTTGGTAATTCTCGTGATCTTTAATCAAATTATATGATTGTTTGAACTTTTTAAGCAACTACTATTTGTTTTTATGGGTACATCAATATTGGCTTTAGCTGCTATGAGTTGGGTATGGAATGATGACCTTCCTAACAGATGATATTTCAGTGACTCGGGGCTGTAATCAATTTCTTACTAGTTGGTCGTGCTGTAAAATCATATCCTAGTTTGTTCTTGATATCTCATTTCAAGTGTACTGGCTTTTACTCTATCATTTATAGGTGGCTTCATCTATGGTTTCCTTGTGAATTGTTTTTTCCCCCTTATTTGTTACATTTTGTTGATATATTTTCCCAATATTTGATGCGCTAGTTTTTTTTCAATATTTTATTTTTGCAGCCTCTTTCTCTGAAGCGACTAACAGAGGGATTAAGAGCAACAAAACGTTCTGTAGATGATGATATACATAAGCTCTTCTCTAATGTTATGAGTATTCATCCTCCAAAGGTTAGTTTTTTGTGCTTTATTGCTTTATTAGTAATTTGAAATGTATTGGCTGCTGCTATAGCCGCGGGGG